AGTCCAGTCCACTTCCCTAACTAATTTATTTAATTTTTTTAATTTTGCCCTTTTGAAATCAAAGGCCCTAGTTGCAGATCTATTTTTGTTTGTCCTTCCATTTAATTTAAACTGAATTACTTCATGATCACACAATTCAATATTATCCCCTACAACTAGTTCTTCTATGAGGTCCTCACTACTCACCAACACCAAATCTAAAATGGCAACAACTCTTGTTGGTTCAGCAACTATTTGGTGAATAAATCTATCAGCTATCACATCCAGGAAAATCTAGGCCCTACTATTATTAGTAGCACTTGTCCTCCATTCTATATCTGTGAAGTTAAAGTCTCCCATAATCACAACAATTCTAAGTAATATTTATTTCATGAAAACATTAAGGAGGTCTCTATCCTGGAGCCTGGGGGGTCTGTAGCATACCCCAAGCACTATCCCAGGGGAACTTCTAGTAGCTTTCTTCTCCAAAGTTATTTTGGCCCAAACAGACACTGTCTTATCCAGTCTATCACTTCTAATTTCTTTACAGTCTACTTTATCATTAATATATCATTCTACTCCACCATTTTTACCTCTATTTCTGTCTTTCCTGAACAGCACATACCCTTCAATGCCTGTACTCCAGTCATGACTACTATTCCATCATGTTTCTGTTATCACTATATCTGATTTCACTTCCTGCACCAGTAGTTCTAGCTCCTCCATTTTGTTACCCGGGCTTCTTGCATCGGTGTACAGACAGCTTAGTAGTTTCTGCTTAGCTTTGCCCAGATTCCTCACCCACTTGAGTACAGTCATTCTCCTGCCAGTATCACCTACCTGATTATTTGCTTAATTAATATAGGCACAATCTTCTCTCTTAATGTCCATTCTCCTATACACTGCTCCCTTCTCCATTACTTGATTTTCCTTCCAGTCAATGTTAGAATCAGGCATGGAGATTACATGAGCATCTCCTAATCACATCGCCCGAGTTCCTAGTTTAAAGTTCTTTTAATAAGTTGAGCCAACCTCCATCCCAGAAATCTATTGCCCTCCCTACTCAGGTGGAGTCCATTCCACGAGAACAATCCTCTGTCCATGAATGCCTCCCAGTGATCCCAAAAGCCCTCCTTATAGCACCTGCCTGCCTGACCAATCTAGAGGGCTCTATGATGGCCTCAGTAACTGGAAACACCACCACCTTACGTGGGCCTACAGGTTACAAAACATCCAGGAGCCGGTGGTTTTTTTGGTCCCCTAGATACCTCCTTCAACAGTATCTGGAGATCATTGGCAATCCTCTGCAGCAGTTCCTAGCTCTGCCTATGATCATCTGGTAGAGATGGAGAGAAAGGAGTGACTGCTTTGTCTGGAGATGAGGATGAGATTCCTGACCTGCTGATCTAGGAGTATGACCTCCTCCTCATACTCCAACAGATCAAGTGGGAACCAAGAAGAAGAAATGTGGTAAGATTCCTGGGCAGGTTCTGGCTGTCTGCCATAAGGATCCTGTTGGTCACAAGAAGGCAAGAAAGAGGGATCAGCCATTTGTGAGAGACTTCCTGGGATCGGATCCCAGAGGTCCCTGGGGAAATCATATCTAGATGGGTAGTGCCCAGATCTCCTCAACTGCCTGTCAGGGCTTGGCTTTCTCTGAGAAGATGGAGAAGCAGCTGGAAAGTCTGACTCGTCCGAATCTGAAAACTGCTTCCCTTCCAATGGTGGGGCCATCAGTACTGGAGCACTGCTACCTGATAGTTGGAGATGAGACAGTTTTTGAGATACCGAAGAAGTAGTACACACTCTGGTGTAGAAACGTCCCTCAGGAAGGCCAGACCAGAAAGGATGGGAGGCTACAGATAAAGGAGAAAGATCTTCTCCAGTGTTGTATATATCTCAATGTAAGCAGAGTCAGGATGAGCTCTACCCTGACATCTGGTGGTGAATTATGGCAAGTGTGGAAAAGAACTCCAGGGGCTAATCTTGTTTGCATAGGCACACCCACTCGCCTGGAATGAAACAACAGCAACTCAAAGTGGTTACTTTGGCTGGTGTGGGATCCCCAGTTTTCTCTGTTATTGGGGCAGGAAGAATAAAGTTTTGTTACCCTGATTCTGTGAATCAAGGCCAGTGGAACTGTTGTATGACAGAAGGACTTAGTGAGTCCTTCACCATTACCTAAGTAGCACTTGCTTGACAAGGGGTATGGGTTACAAAACCCAGTGAATTGAGAGAGGATGGGGATAGGTATTTGTACCTGATGGTATGGACCCCCTCTGAGGGTTTGAAACACCAATTGCACTACCTCCTCTCTCCACTGTTGAATGTCAGAGCTAACTTTGATTCCATTGGGAATCTAGTTACAGGCTGCTGAGCTGAATTCACTTTGGGCCAATGGTGCACTAGCACTGGGGCTCCCCTACTATGAGCTGAAATTGCTAAGAGCTGAAATCACAAAAGAGCTGAAGTTATTAAGAGCTGAGATCACTGAGTGCTGTGTTAACTAGTGGGGGAGCCTGAACCTATATTGCTAAGCAGCTGGCGGAGCAATTTGTGGGGACAACTGGAGGAGCAGCGAGTGGCGCGGAGCCTTGCGGGGCCGGTTGGAGCGGCCCAAGGAACGGCGAGCGTAGCTATTTGCGGGGACGGCTGGAGCGGCTCACAGGTCGGTGAGCGGAGCAGCTTGTAGAGCGGAGCAGTTTGTGGGATGGCAGGAAGTGGACTGGCTCGTGGTGAAGGCTGTGGCGGAACCCCACGGAGAGATGGCCGGCTGGCCTCGGATCACATAAAGTGCCCCTTAACACCCTGCGTGCCCCCTCCCGCCCCCCCCGCCTTTTCTCTGGGGCTGCATTGACCAGGGACAGAGACTTTGGGGTCTGTTGGACTTTTGGGACTTTGGGTGGTTTTTGGGTTGCTGGATTCAAGAACCAAAGGGAAAGGACACAGCCCAATTTGCTGGGGTGGGTTTTTTGTTCATGATTTGTGTTATGAATCCTGTTTGTGGTGTTTTTCCAATTTAATGCTGATGTCGTTTACCTCATGTTATTAAACATTTTCTGTTACACTCAGACTCCGTGCTTGCGAGAGGGGAAGTATTGCCACTTAGAGGCACCCAGGGGGTGGTATGTAATTGTTCCAGGTCACTGGGTGGGGGCTTGAGCCGGTTTTGCATTGCGTTATTGAAACGGAACCCCTAGATACAGAACCCGGCCCTTGTTGCTGCCAACTTAGATGGGCAGAAGGGTTACATCTATAAATCCCAGTGTCCGGAGGTTTCAACTGTCAATACCAATGGTTCTGGCATGTTTTGGGAGGTAGTGCAGTCCTTGGATAAGTGAGCCGGTACTGGCAATGAGTCCGGACCCACACTCCTAAAGGGAGCCAGCAGATGACAGTTCTTGTGTTTTGAAGCCAGAGTCACCGACGGAACCGACTGATCTTTCTTCTTGCTCAGTTTACCCTTCAGCATGAGGATCTTCATCAGTGCCAGTCCCTTAGGATTCATACATGAAGGCTCACCTGCTCTCAATAGCTAGGGGAGAGATCGCATCTCTTGTGGACAGTCCTAAATAGGGATCTATCCTTGCGACTATGAGAGTGCACCTACCAGATGAGGCACCAGCAATGCTGCGAGACTGCTACTGCACACACACACCCTGACCAGACACTGCTACCAAAAATCTCTGATCAACGGCACCGTGATGCACTGACACTTGAAGTGGAGCGCCCACAGGAACAGCACTCGAAGAAGAATGTTTTGTTACTGGCTTGGTGAAGTTTTGGGGATCGTCTGCCCTATTCTTTCCAGTTTGCACTGATTAAGCATACTCAGTATAGCCATTCTAGCGAGGAGGGAATCCCCTGTATGGGGGAAAAACAAGCTATACTATCTATACTATAAAACTCTAAATCTACTAATATAAAAGCTATGATGTATAAAAACTATTTACAAATCTATCAAGAGGGGAAAAAATTGAGAGATCTGTGAACACAGGGATTCTGGCTATGTGGCAGTAAGAAGGAACTGGAGAGGCATCTGCTTGGACTGTCTCTTACACCCTCAGTCAGGAGCACAGGAAAATCTACTCGCATGTGCAGGCCAACGGACCCTTTTTGTTAGAATTTCTAGACACAGAAGCAGTTTGCTTTTCTGACAATTTTCCTGTAGGGCAGAAAGAGAGAAATGTCCCATCTCACTGACATTGCACCTTCCGATATATGGAAAGTAGACAGACACCACTGAACAGCTGATGAAGGGGAAGCAGATTGGCTAGTCAATCTCCCCTCCAAGGATGATAAGAGGGGAGTGAGATAAAGGGCACCAGATTGGGAATATGGGAAAGACCCTTCCAAAAGACAAAGGCAAATAACTGGCAAGGAAAATAGAGCCTGGAGAAGGGTGACCTATACAAAAAACCCAGGACAAATGGGGTTGGGGATCTGGAGTTAAGGTCCTGTAAGAGGTTTACCCCTGGCACAAATCTCCCCCTTCCTCTCCCTCACACCCAAGGTAGATCTCCCTGGAGAGAGGGATTTCTTGTTCAGTTGCTCTTTCCATAAGGCTGAAAAGAGGAGAGCGCACCAAGCCAGCAGCAGATGAAAGGCTGGTTGCCTTCTGTCCAGGTCTGGAACTTACAGCTAAGCAGAAACGTACAGGAGACATACTAAGCCAGTGCTATATGTTCTTCGCTTTCGTGATAACTAAAATAGACAACATAAAAGTTAAGAGAGATGAAGAAGGGTTACCAATTAAGACACATGAATTGAAAGTGAAGAATTCTTAACTGCTGTATGTTACAGTATATACAGTCACTGAATGAGATATATGAAATATTATCCCAAGGCATAACTACAAAACATAAGAATTGAAGTTTATCCTTAACTCTGATTTTCCTACTTTAATGGTATTTTTTCCAATAATACCAGTAAGTTTATTAGTAAACACACCACAATTAACCACAAGTGTTTTAAACTGCATTCTAAATTACTGTCTGGAAAAGTAAGTTAAGAAATATTACCTCAATATTTTCTTTATGTATATTTTTATTTTCAATAAATTGTGCTTCTAGTTCAGCCACTGGTCCCTCGATGTCTGCTATCCTCTTTATAGTTTCTTCTTTTGTCTTGATGCTATCTTTTTTCTTTTGCTCTAGCTCACTATACATTGCTTTAATCCTGGCCTGTTAAAAAGACATGAAACTAATTTTCGCTTATTGAAATCAGAAGCAAAAGAAGAACAATCTATTTAAAAAATTCCAAATTTGAAAGGCCATTCATACCATTAACAAAATGCTATGTACAGAACCACAAATTAATGATATGTGTATTTACAAAATCGGGGTTAACAAGTACAGCTCAGTGATATTAGGAATATCTATAGAATGAGAGCAAAGTTAGCCACTGAGCCAGAATATGTCATCAACACTGCATGAAATAGGGAAGGAAGAGTAGCTAGTAGAATTGACAAACACAGTGAAGGGACTGAACAGGAAAAAAAAACAAAATGTCAGTATTATATTAAACAGATAAGGTAGGTAATGTAATAACTGTTATTGGACCAACTTTTGTGGGTGGAAGGTACAAGTTTTTGAACTACAAAGATCTCTTCTTCAGGTCTGGAGAAAGAAATTAGTGTCTGAGCTAAATACACATTGAGACAGATTGCTAAGCATAAGTGGTAATGCCTGTTGTAGGAAGCCACTGGAAATGGAGGGGGCAATAAGGGTTAGACTATTCTGAAAAAGGGGTTTGAAGTGGGTTAGCATGCAGGTGTTTATTACAAATTGTTGTAGTGAGCCATGAAACCAGTGTCTCTGTTCAGTCACACTGATTTTTGGTGTCTAGCAGCACTATGAATTTAAGTTCCCAAGCTCGCTTTTTGAAAGTGTTGTGCAGGTTTCCTTTGAGGTTGAGTATTGAAAGATCAGATATGGAATGATCACCTTGTGAAAAGTATTTGCAAATGGGTGATACGGTGTTTTTGTCTTTCATCATTTTTCCCTGTGAGAGTTCATTCAAACCAGACAATCGTAGTGAATGTCTGGTTTCACCCACATAGTTGTTATTGGGGCACTTCTACACTTCTCTGATCACTACTTACAACTCCAAATATGCTGAGCAGCTCTGGAAAAGGACCCCAGAAAAACTGAGGAACCATCTCCTGCACCATATATTCTTCAGAAGAGACTACCTCCAACAAGAAATCACCACATTCTCCCACACACTGGAAGAAAGAATATCAGGAAGCCTACCTGGAGATCATGCAGCAAACCCAAAACAACTATCTAAAATACCTGATGCCAACCATCCAACACACGCAAAAAAGTGAAACTAACTACAGCAACTACACAACCAATAGAACACCACCTCTTGTAGAAACCAACACACCAAGACCCAGCACATCGACACATGATGATATCCCAACGTCATCAACCTATCAAGACTACTCTTAACCAAAACTGAAGCATCTGTACTCTCCAAGGGACTGAAATTCTGCCCCACCACAGAACCTGATAACATACAATCATGTGAAGAACTAGAAGAATTCCTCCATCAATTCCACCTCATAGAAAAGAAGATACCACCCACAACTATTACCTCCCCATGGACAGCCATAAGAAAAAAGTATCATCTGACTGGACATTGCAGAGAAGATGAAACCACACACTGGATCATTACACTGACTGCTTCAGGAAAAAAAACTGACTGTAAAATGATCAACAAACATTATATCCACCACAATCTCTCTACCACTGAGAGGACAGCTATACAGACCCTGAAATCCAACCACTATATAGTGATCAAACCAGCAGACAATGCAGGCACTATTGTAGTCTTTAATTGTGATGACTATGTCAACAAGGCTTACAGACCACTCTCTGACACCACCTACTACAAAAAACTAAAAAACCACCACACACCACAATTCACACAGGAATTTGAAAATACCATCAAATCAGTCCTCAAACAAACTAAAGAAAAGAAAACCCTCTACAAACTCGTCCTCCACAAACGCACTCTAGGGACCTTCTACATGCTTCCCAAGACACACAAACAAGGGAACCTAGGCAGATGCACTCTTACTGAAGGAATATCAAGACCCACAGAAACCATGCTCAAACTATTCCCCTCCAAGACACTACCAACTTCTTCCAGAAACTCTTCAACTCTAACAGCCTCCCCCATGACACCATCCTTGTCACCATGGTTGTCACCTCCCTATACACCAACATCCTTCACCATGATGGTATCGCTGCCTGCCTCAAATACCTACAAGATAGTGTAAAATACTCAGAAATCCACTCAAAACACAATGCCAAATGCATCCATTTCATCCTCATCCACAACAATTTCACATTTAACAACAAACACTTTGTCCATAGCATGGTAACAGCCATGAGTACTAGGATAGCCAACCTCTTCATGGGCCACCTCAAGGAAAAGTTTCTGGACAACTGCATCATGAGACGAATATTATATCTGAGATACATCAAGGGTATTTTTATCCTTTGGACAGACAACTTAAACTCCCTCACAGATTTCCACCACAACTTCAACAACCACCACTCATCCATCAAACTCTCTCTAAAACACTGCCACACCAGCATCAACTTCCCAGACATCACAATTAGCTTCAGCAGTGGAATCCTACAAATTACTATGTGAAAGAAACCCTCGGATCACCACACTTACATCCACAGATCCAGCAACCACCCCATATACAAAAAATATGTTATCTACAGTCAGGCACTCAGATAGCACAGAATTTGCACTGAAAAGATAGTCAGGCATACATTCCTAGACATACTTAAAACAGCTGTCACTATACAAGGACATTCCACCAGAGAACTAGAAAGGGTCACCAAAATACCACAAGAAAAGCTGCTTCAACACAGAAAAAAAATGCCCACTGACAGCACATCGCTAGTTGTCACCTATCACCCCAAACTGGAACCCATATGGGTATCATCAAACATATTTGACATCCTGAAAGAAATTTTTCTCAACCCAACCCCCCCGCCCTCTGGCCTTTAAACAATCCATCAACCTTGCCAAACTCATCAAGGCAAGATCCCCACAGCCCAAGACACACCAACTCAAAGCAGCACCAGATCCTGCCAGAACAACAAATGCAAAACTTGCAAACATATCTTCACTGCTATGGTGATCAATTCCCCCCATAACACACCTTCCAGATTAATGGATCCTACAAATACCTGTCACACTATGTGGTGTACCTCATACAGTGCATCAAATGCCCCAATAACAACTATGTGGGTGAAACTGGACAATCACTACTCTCTCAAATGAATTCACATAGAAAAATGATAAAAGACAAAAATACCATAACACCCATGGGCAAACAGTTTTCACAAAATGATCACTCCATATCTGATGTTTCAATACCTGGCCTCAGTGGAAACCTGCATAACACCTTCAAAAGGCGAGCCTGGGAATTTAAATTCATAACACGTCTGGACACCAAAAAGCATGGATTCAACAGAGACAGTGGGATTACAGCTCATTACAACAATTTGTAACACACCACACTGCCTGCTAACCCTTAATGGACCATTCCAAACCCCTTTTGCATACAATCGAACCCTTATTGCCCACTCTATTTTCAAGTGGCCACCTATAACATGCATTATCCCTTCTGCTTAACAAGCTGTCCCAGTTTCTATTTAGCTCAGGGCAGGTCTACACTAACTCCCCAATTCGAACTAAGGTACGCAACTTCAGCTACGTGAATAACGTAGCTGAAGTTCGAAGTACCTTAGTTCGAAACTACCTCGGTCCAGACGCGGCAGGCAGGCTCCCCCGTCGACTTCGCGGTACTCCTCTCACCGAGCTGGAGTACCGCAGTCGACGGCGAGCACTTCCGGCTTCAACTTATCTCGTCCAGACAAGACGCGATAAGTTGAACCCAGAAGTTCGATTTGCTTGCCGCCGAACTACCGGGTAGTGTAGACCTACCCTCAGACACACAGATTTCCTTCTCCAGACCTCAAGAACAGCTCTTGGTAGCTTGTACCTTCCATCAACAGAAGTTGGTCCAATAATAGATATTACATCACCTCCCTTATCTCTCTCAACACGGCTACCACACTGTAAACAAAGTATTACATTAAAGCAGATGAAGAAATTAAAGTATTTAAGCTCTTCCTAGTCCTAGTGAAGACATCTAGAGAATGGGTAATTCAAGTATTGGAAATTCATGTCAGGAGTCAAATTCTTTACTGATGGGGAACTTTATCACTATAACCGTTGCTCTTTGGTTTAGACAAGCAAGCTAAAAAGGAAGAAACCAAAGTGAAGAAGAAAATCATTATTGCAAAGCAAACCAATACCTTTTATGTTTACAACAAAGATAACCATGCCTTTAAAAAAAGAGTTAGAAATTCACAGTAGTTTCCAAAATTAGATATGGTTATTTTAATTCAAACTGCTTATCCATAATCAGATCCTGCCAATTTTCCAAAGAGCTAGGGAAAGAACTATTTGTCTGCAATCTAGGTTGGTTAAAAAGAAAGTGTTTTATTACAGAAAGATTTACAATGTTAAAACAAAAATATACGTAAAAGGAGTTTATACATGAAATCAATGTGATAATGTCTTGTTTACCTGAGTCAGTTGCCATGTTCCTCTTTCATCTCGAATTAATTTTTTTATGTTCTCTTCCAAATTCTTAAAACAAAAATTTTTAAAAATTAACACCCACAATATAATGTATAACAAAAGCAAATTAAAAAACAGCTGCAATGAAGATTTAATACTGAAATTATTATAAAGACAAACAGCTTTCAAACTGTGTCCTACCTACTGTATAATAATATGAATAATGAATAAAGACAAAGGAAATTACCATTTTGGAACTAAGACGATATGAATTCAGGCACAGGAAGTAAACTAATGCAGCAGAAAGTACAAGAAAGGCAACAGAATTTTCTAAGTTGTAAGTTCAATTACCTTTTATAACTAGCAGTCATTAAATATACTCAATACCTATATGTCACCCATAGGAATCATGAATGGCAACTGAGTAATTTTATATATCAGTGCCTTCCCTGCACTCCATTGTTTTACACAGAAATGACCTTGTTTGCAAATCATATGCAAATCTGAACTTTGTTCCAGCACTCTCTCATTGAGGCTCCTCTTCTGCTCTTCCAGTATAATCGGGGCCTACATCCCAAGATTGGGATTTATGCACTGTATATCTTTAGTTTAGGATTTGTAACATAAAGCAGGTTAACCTAACTTGTGTGACAGACCCAGACCAGTGGGGTACAGGAGTCTGGTAGAGGGCAAATATACTGGTCACTGGATGAGTAGTTTTCTGTTCCCTGAGTGACCAGAACAGGGGCTGCACTAGAGTAATCAACAAGCTGATAGAATCAATTAAGGCAGGCTAATCAGGGCACCTGGATTTTAATAAGGAGCTCACTTCAGTTTGTGGTGCGAGTGCGAGGAGCTGGGAGCAAGAGGCACAAGGAGCTGAGAATGAGAGGGTGTGCTGCTGGAGGACTGAGGAGCACAAGCGTTATCAGACACCAGAAGGAAGGTCCTGTGGTGAGAATAAAGAAGGTGTTTGGAGGAGGCCATGGGGAAGTAACCCAGGGAGTTGTAGCTGTCATGCAGCTGTTACAGGAGGCACTATAGACAGCTGCAGTCCACAGGGCCCTGGGCTGGAACCCGGAGTAGATGGCGGGCCCGGGTTCCCCCCAAACCTCCCAATTGACCTGGACTGAGGGTTCTTCCAGAGGGGAAGGTCTCTGGGCTGTTCCCCAACCCACATGGTGAATCTCTGAGGCAAGAAAATCCGCCAATAACCGCAGGACCCACCAAGATAGAGGAGGAACTTTGTCACACTTGATATAATTAAAATCTCAGGTAGTTGAACCAGAATATAGGCTTTTGTTTTCTTTCTGTAACTTACATTTTTAAGTTAATTTAGTGCTTGGGAAAAGTGTACTAGAGACTGAAATTCCTTACTTATCAAATTCTTTACTTGCTATTGCTCACACTGTACTTACGGAAGGCACACAACCTCAATCAACCCTGTTTTGGACAATGAATGTGTAATTCCATCCTTGGATTGATTCAGCATCTCTGTTAAGATTACACTGGTCTACATTTTTTGAGAAGTCGTCAGCTTCAGAGATAAAATGTGCTATTTATTATGTATTTTGATGTGCTGAATTCAAATATGACAATTAAAACAACTGATTGGCTACTGTTTCTAAAATATTTAAGTTTTTACATTTGATGTCTATGTATATTGTGTAGATAGTAGAGTTTTAATCATAAATTGTAAACCTAGGTCTTTTCATGTGTTTATGGTTGCTTTACATGATAATATTTCACCTGTCCTGTTTATGTAACACTTTAAAAATCAGCAAAAGGGTTATATAAATAAAATTCATTATGAAA